CCAGTGGAGGCGGAGGATCATGGCGAGGCAGATGTGGTCGGCGAGTTGGAGGGAGGGATCGCTGGCGAATAGGGCATCCCAGATGCTGAGCACGGAGTCGAAGGGGAATTCGCGGCCGAAGAGCAGGCGCAGCCATTTCATCATGAATAATTGCGGGACGACGTCGCCGGTGGAAAGGTGTTCGGCGAGACGAGGATCGACGAGGGGGAGGTAGTCTTCGTAAACTCGTTTGATACGCACGATCAAGGGAGAGTCGAGAGATCTCGACACTTTCGGTGATCTCAAGCCGGCTGTTGGCTTTGCATCGGCGCCTGGTACCTCATAAAATGACCTTGCGCCTTGCATTATGAGTCCGAACAAGGTAAAGCAATCATGCTCGACGAATTTTGCGTCAAACATTAAGATCGCTAGATCCTCATTCCCATGCTCTTCTCCACAGTCGACCGCATCACGCTCGACCACCCATAGGATCGGGGCCAATATCTCGTGCATGCCTTGCTTATACCCGATATCCGGACTCAGCTTGCAGAATATGAATAGGATGTCCAGCAACATCGTCGACGTCGATGGTTGACGGAAATATAGATTCTCAGGCATACATCGCTCAACATCTTGGTATATCTCGTTGCGGAGCTCCTCGTCCTTGCGCAGCGCCACCCAGGGAGACTCTTCGCTCTCGCTGAGCGGGTCGACGGCCGTTTCCACCTCATTGGGATTCTCGATATACTTAAGGAGGTGTTCGCGGAGGGATTGGTATGCTGTTCGGGAGCTCTGCAGCGTTGATGACCATGTGTCGCGGTCTAGGGAGTTAAACAGGAGAAATGCCTTCCAGCATACAGAACGGAGGCCAGACAGGCTTGGACCTGCGGTGCCATGTTCTTTGATATAGGTTCGGACATGGTCGAGGGTTGTGAAATCATCTAACTGCGCCCAGCATTTTCTGTGTTGTCACATCAGCTTTGGAGACTTCCATTCGGGAGGGTAAATGAGCTCGGCGTACTGTGCCTCTCCCAGCGACCGCATATTCCACCCCAGTTATAACCAATATACACATGCTACTGCCGGTGCGACTATAGCATGTATGGTAGACTAATAGGAAGATTAAATGAAGTTGGATTTCTGTCGGGAGATTCGGCTGGTGGCATGAAAGAGCTAGGACCGCGATAGGACCAGGATGGTTCAAATGGACTGCCAAAGTTCTGGATAATAGCGAATGAGCAACAGCATTCAAGATTGAATAAAAGATGGCTTCTATTCTTAATCCTTGAAATGCTCTATGAATTTCAATCCGCCGCGGGTATCTATTCACATGGGGGATACTGATTCACTGCACTCATCGATGCTACATGTACCGATATCAGATTCCTTCCAACCTTCCGATATTATATATATCTCCTAACATTCTATCTCCTAATATCTACGATGAAAGTCGCTACTACAGTTAGTACTGTACCTTAAGGTACCTTGCATGTAATAATCTAGATCACGGTCCCCTTCATGGCCAGTGGTAGTCATCACGAGCTCCTTTCCATTCTCTCCGACTAGCAGTTTCCTTCACACAGGGAGGAGAATATACCTAACATATCCTCTCCGACTCCCGTTCTAACTCCATCACCAACAATCTCCCAATCTAATCTCTCAAATTGAAGTTTGTGGAAGGCCACAGAAGCTCCAAAGGCTCAAATCAGATCGCTTGTCTCATACATGGTGGGATGTGTCCGGGAACATTAGTGACATACCAATAACCTTTAATATCCCCCCATTCGTTGGGACGCCTTGGGACGCCTTGGATCTCTCGAAAATCGGAATCGTCTGGCCAACTCATTCCTCCTCACTTTTCTCAATCCACGGAGGAGGACGTTGACGGCGGAGCTGATGGGCGATTTCAGGGCTAAACTCCAGCAACGCACCAAGCAGTTGATGCGAAGGGTGTCCAGCTCGAATGAAGAAACCCCAGGAGCGTCCAAATCCCATTCTACATCCATCCCTCCACGAACTCAAGATGCCTCCACTTCGACTGAATCTTACACTCCCATCAACCCAATGAAACCCATCAACTCTCCATCCTCACCTTCCGTTCCCCATGATCAACAGTCTCCCTTTGCCAAATCCCCTTCCGAGGACTTGAGTGTGGCCAAAACCAGGGCTGAAGGAGGTGTCGATGTTGTCCCATCAAGCTCCACAAATCCGCGTCCGACTCCGCAGGATTTCCATGTCGATCCCATAGATTCCTCGCCGAAGACATCAACTGCCAGCCCACAAGTCATTCGCAGAGACACCGTCGAATCGAAAGATCACCAACCCGGCTACCTCAGTGTTCCTTCGGTCCCATCACCAGCGATCACCGTAGTCTCGGGAGGTCGATTGCCTCAATTGAGAGAACTGACCTTGGGAAGTCCCACTCCGGGATCTGATCCAGATTCTGATCCACCGCCAGCTGAACAGACATCCACGGCCCAAAACCCGCGCCGCAAGAAGCTGCAGTTTGTCTCGAGTTCTGAATCCTCACTTAAATCCAAATCGGCTGCACGAATACTCGCTGAGGCCCCGGAGCAGTTACTGAGGAAACAATCCCTAGTTTCCAGTTCGAACGCGCATTTCATCAAAACGCTTCTTGAAGACGAATCCGCAATCGCGAACCCAGACGAGCAGCAGCGCTATATCACAGCCATGACAAAAGAACTACATCGGAAGATCTGGGTGAAGCGGCCCGGAGCGTCTCCGACGCTGGTGCAGATTCGAGAGAACGACCTGATGGACGGTGTACGGGAGATGATCTTAAAAAAGTATGCAAATTCGCTAGGCCGATACTTCGACGCTCCCGACATCACGCTCCGAATCGTCGCGAGAGACGATCCATCTTTAGAACAGACGCTGGGACCTGACGAAGAAATCTGTCGAACCCTCGATACCTACTACCCTGGCGGGCAAACTGTCGATGAGGCCCTCATTATCGACGTCCCCCATCGGCGCACGCCTCGACAGTCTCCCCGACCTACACAAATCGTCTACTACGACGACCAGTCCCGCCCATTCGAACATGGCGGCGACTACTTCCCACCTATGCCTCCGAACGTCCCCTCTCCTGCCGCAATCACCTCCACCTCCCACGAAAGCCGACACTCTCGAGATCTATCCTTATCACAAACCCACAGCAACCATAGCCACTCCCACAGCCTCGGCCACAGCTCCTTCGACCAAACCCGCTCCATGACCGTCCTCTCCACCGGCCAAGTTCCCCCTCTCCCCTCCCCTGGCGGAACCCGACGTAGCCACCTCACCCGCCCCGGCCGCCCGGCCAACGTTCGCCAACCCACGGCTTCTCCCACCGCACTCGCCAACCCTCACCGCTCTTCCCGCCCACACGATTCCGGCGATCTGGCACCCGCCCCTGCCATCATCTCAACCCCTCCAACCGAACACCCTCCCACAGCCGCCCAACCGACCTCCCGCCCCACAACCCCACGCGTATCATCTCCGCGACCAAAAGGCCGGCGCCGAATGAGACTTCGACCCGACGGAACCAACTCGGCTGCCACCACACCCGCGCCCATGTCTCTCTCCATCCCGACGATCGAAACGTCCGTGCCGCCGATCAACGTGCTAATCGTCGAAGACAATCACATCAACCTGAAGCTGCTCGAGCAATTCATCCGCCGCCTCAAGGTACGATGGGCGAGCGCACAGAACGGGCGGGAAGCCGTGAACAAGTGGCGAACCGGCGGGTTCCATCTGGTGCTGATGGACATCCAGCTGCCGATCATGAGCGGGCTAGAAGCCACGAAGGAGATTCGGCGACTCGAGCGGGTGAACGGCATCGGGGTGCTGGCGAACTCGACGCCGACGCCCGGGGAGGAGAAGAGTGTGAGCGAGGGCGGTTTGGGGAACGTGGTGCCGACGTCGTTGCTCGGCGAGGATAAGGATAAGGCGGTGTCCGGGAGCGGCGAGATGGGGAGGAAGCTGAAGGAGGGGGATAAGTTGGTGGATCGGAGCTTGTTTAAGAGTCCCGTTATTATCGTCGCGTTGACGGCGAGTAATCTGCAGAGCGATCGACATGAGGCGTTGGCGGCGGGGTGTAATGATTTCTTGACAAAGGTACGCATCTCTCTCTTTCCTCTCTCTCCATCCTCCAAGCCTGCGAGTGCACTTTGCCCTAATTTCCCCCCTTCATTTCTTACCAGCTCTGCTCACTTTGATGTCTGCTAACTGTCGCTTCACAGCCCGTCAATTTCGTCTGGCTCGAACGCAAAGTCAAGGAATGGGGCTGCATGCAAGCGCTCATCGACTTCGACGGCTGGCGCAAATGGAAGGATTTCAGCCAGAACGACGAGGGTGCCGAGAAGAAGAAAGAGGAGAAGTAGATTGCGGAGTTCTCGCACCACGGACCGGCATAAACGAGCATCGGTATTACTTTTTCACCCTTCATTTTGAAGCAGGTTCTTTTCATGTCATCACATTCCCCTACCGGACCTGGTGGTCCGGGATGGCGGCGTTTAATTCGCTGGTAGCGTTTTGAGGGTTGGTGTGTCATTTATGATGGGCAGCGCCTGAGGTTATGGGGATGTAAAAGTCTGTTGCACGCTCGAACACGATAAGTCTTATTTGCTATTTTCAAGCGTTTTACTCGTATCTGAACAGATGCTGTTCGGATTTGTCTTATTAGCATTCTTGATGGGGTTCTAGAGCATTTTTGCCGGGCAACAACAGGCTAGAAAGAACATGCATTGGCACTTCAAGCTCCGTCCGACGTTCTCACAATATCAGAGTCCTAAATGGCCTCTATTGTTCTTATCACCTATCCTCTACCGACTTCCAACCCCCTTCAGACAGTCTTCCCCGCCTTTATCGCCTGACTCACCGCCGCATCCTCCTTAAAAAACCCCTTCGTCTCCGGATACTTCGCCACGATCAAATCCGCCACCATCCTCCCAAACAACTTACTCCCCTTCGCATTCACATGTGTATTATCCCCGCTCTTCAACGCATACGCTGTATTCACCTTTGTCCCCACCTTATTCACATACTCCGTGCTCGCCCCGTTCAAATCTATCCACCATGCTCCCGCCTTCTCCGCTGCCGCCACCGTCGCCTTGTTCTCCTCCGCGAAGGTCTCCTTCACCTTCGCCCCGTTAAACGACCGCCGCGTCAACGGCGTCACCAAGATCGGCACTCCCCCGGCCTTCTTCACTTCGCCGGCCATCTTCTGCAGGTTCGCGCCGTACTGTGCGATACTGATTTTCTTGTCGGGCTTCTGGTCATTGTGCCCGAACTGGATCGTCACGTACACCTGCTTCTTCCCCGCGACGCTCTTCGCTTCCTTGAGCACCTCGTCCCAATACCCGTCACTGCGGTAGGAGACTGTCGTGCGCCCGTTGTGGCCGAGGTTCTTCCCCGTGGCCGGCGGCTGGAGGTAGGCGAGGAAGCCGTTGCCCCAGCCGCCGCCGCCGGAGGATTGGGGCGCGGTGGTGCTGTCGCCGGCGAGGAGGAAGTGGGCGGGGAGGGCGGCGGCGTTTGCTTTGGGAGAAGGGAGGGAGAAGGTGGGGGAGGAGAGGAGGAAAAGCGGGAGGAGGGACAGGAGATGCATTGTGGGCGAATTGATGTGGCCTTGAGAGTATAGCGAGGAACATATTTGGAGATCGATGCGGCGATCTGGTGGCATTAATACTAGTGGGGAGAGGGCGTGGCATGGGTTATATGGATGGAATAATGGATGGAATAATGGACAGGGAAAGCTTAATTTAACGCACGCTTCATTAATCTCGAGCAACACTATCACTATACCTCAGTTGATACTCTAAGAAGTTAAATCTGCCGGTCCTAATCCTTGTGCTTCCGTATTATTATTAGTTACCATCGTGATGTAGAATTGGTCCATGGTTTAGCCGCTCCTACATTCGAGGATGCCCACCTTCTCCACTGACCCACAGGCTATGGTACAACTCTTGATAAACACACCCACAGTCAGACTCAGTTTTATCGAACTATTTTGAACCTTTCCTCCGCTCCCAATATGGTCGGCCTTGCTAGCGCTTTGGTGGTGTCGATGACCGGACTGGTCGTAGAGAATGAGATGTTGGTACTTCAAAGCTCTCAGGGTCATGTAATGTTCAAGTATGGAGGGAGTCAAGCTGTACATGCGTTGAAACCGAGGGGCCCATACTTGGAAGCCAGAGGTATGAGAGTAAGGTACCAAATGGAAACATTTATATCACGAATTGTTCAATTTCAAGCTGACCTTGTGCCACTATCCTAGTTGGTAATACACTTCTCGATTGAACTTTTTGGATCTCCTGCGTTGGCTGCCCAAATTCCTGCAGCATACTGTGTCGTGCATAGGTCCGGTATTTTGCTCACTCATTCTCCTCAGCCTCCTCCTCCCCGCCGTCCCCTGGTTGATGGTCGGTATCATCGCAATTGATCGCACCAGAGTATGACTCGACCATGATGCATGGAAGGCACAGGCATGGCATCTTGTCCGGGGTGGCAAACCACTCGAATACCAGCGCCAGATGGGTGGCCTTCAATCCGTTGCGGGGATGGACCTCTTTGTCGCACTTCGTGCATGGCTGTGGAGGCTCAATGAGAGTAGTGAGCATGCTCTCTATCATCCTAATGATGGAATAATAAGGAGTATGCCGATTCTTCGCTTGCTGGTCCATAATTTGAATCAGGTATGACTCGGCAGTACCAGTTGTCGAGTCACAGTCACAGGCAGTTGGAGCCTCGGAGAGCTGGATGTTTTCCCGCTAGTGGTCTATAAAACTATCCTTCATAGCGGTTTTCAAATCTTGAAGTAGGCCTTGGCTGGTGTGTTAGTACCCTGTGCATTTATCCCAGTTGAATGACTTACAGAAAATTTGAAAGTCAAAACACTCCTAGTGCCGCTCCTCGAAGTCAAAGATTGAGTGCCCCATTACAATTGCTAGCTAACGAGCATAAGCTTGGAAATTCTTCGCATCATCCACAGTATATGTAATTCTAAGCGAGTCTATCATCTCGTGGCTTGAGGGGCAAACAATATTCGCTGACCCTGGCTTCGAGAGCGCTTCATAGCTCGGTAGTCCCGGTAGAAGTTTATACTGCTCCAACCAGCAGTCGGGTTGCGCCCTGGATGACATACATTGCCCTATACGCTTCGGCCATTTCGGTAACGTCAACCATGGCCTCCGTTCCTTCGACTTGCTTCAGCCAGCCGGGGATAAGATGAATGGCTTTGAGGAAGGATTCCATTGCCACGGCACCCTCTTCGGGGAGGTTACCATAATCTTCTTGAGGTCGGATTTCAAGACTTAGTCGCCCTAGTTGTCTTCCCCCTTCCGATCATTGGATTCAATTTCCGGTTGATCCCCTTTCCGTTGCAACTCCAGTTTGTCCCTCAATATGGAAGACGCTCCCCTCAGGTCCGACGACCAAAATAAGATCTCCTTCGGGGTCGATAACTACTCGGTCAGAAGGATTGTTGCCGTTGTCTTCCATGGTTCCAATTGGATGAGTCTTAAGGGCGTGGCCAATAGCCAGCAATAAGGAAGTTTTTCAGAAAGATAAAGCGAGGTTATTTGTTTGCCTTTCTGACTAACTATATTCTGTTCTATATAATATTTAAGATCAACACTCTACATAGCGGTCTCTCATGTCTGAAACGACTGAACCCGATCACTGTTTCTACAACAGGAGAAGAAAGGAATTCTATAGCTTGTGATTCGTTGGTCACACAGAGATCTTTATATTCCTCGTTATTATAACAAGTACTACAGTCAGCTTCTTTAAGTTTGCAAACTGCTTTCTTGTACGTAACTAGAGGTTTCACAACTTCTTAGTAAGTTTGGTTCAGTACGCCAATGCCCATTTACGCGAACTTTCCGAGATCTTAGAACCATCTGACGTTGATTACAATCAGATATATCCTACCAATGGCCCATATGACATGAAACAGTTGGCAATTCCTTGACTTAAACCCTTATATATTTGGCTTATAATGCACTACTATAGTCAGAGGGGTGTAGAAAGGTACAACCTATAAGAAACCGCAACATGAAGGACCTGCTCCCAGAAGCATTCCAACAGTTCAATTTCTTTGCCAGACTAGGCAGCTTCAAGTTGGTCGTCAGAACTAGCTACTGTATCAGAATCAGGCGATCCTTCACTGTCTGAATCGGAGTGAACACTATAAGCATCGCTGTCATGTTCCCCACAGTCGATTGCATCCTCAAAATCGCCGTCACGGATGCAAGCGGCACATAGATTGGGCATATCATCGTAGGCAGCAAGCCATTCTGAAACCATGTCACGATGAATAGCCTTGTAATTAGGAACGGGGTGGAAGGCATCCAGTTTGCATGGCCACGGTAATCTCTGGGGGTAGCAGTCCAGGATCGATGTCATGAAACTGAGAAGCGAGTCATTTCGTGCCAATGGATGGCGCGCAGTATAGGGCAACGGTAGATTCCAGGTTTTGATATATTCCCGCCGAAGAGTAACTTTGCACTAGCAGCCTTCACAGGCAAGCAAAAGTTCATGCATTCCGACCTCGGATAGTTCCCGAGATTCCAAGAATCCAACGGTCGTTCTCTTCCTCATCTCCTGAAGCAAGTCTGCATGTACACTGTCAGTTTATCCACTCAAGTTCACGGGGTGAATGGGGGTCCCCATATAGGACATGGTCTGGCAGGGCATCCATGGCCGTTTCTAAGTGAAGGCTGATAAATGGCAAATCCGAGAGCAAACGTAGATGTTTCGCAATGTGGCTAAACTGATCGTCCAAACGTGTGATGTAGGCAGCGCCCAGCCAGTTCAGAAGTTTCGTAGATATCGGTGACTTTTCACCGTCAGATTCGTCGGTCGAGCGGCCCAACTTGTTGAGAGTCTCTATTGTCGGTGGAATCGGCAGCTCCTCGTCTAGCCAAGCCTTCATCGGCAGCCGAATCGAGTGGGTAGAATGATTCTTCTCGGCAGCGATGGCAATTTCCAAAATGTCATCCCCACGTGGACGTTTTCGATCGGAATCGGCCAAGACATGATGAATACATCAGCAGAGAAACCCTATGGCAAGGAGAGAGTCGTCGGGGAGATCAACTCTCTTGATTTGAAGATTGGAATCCATATCCTGGCCCTTCCGAGAGCTTGGACTGAGCATTTTGTTGAATGTTGAGGAGGCCTTCTTCATCAGGCCTGAGTGTACCCGAATTTCTGTCCGCAGTCCTCCTCCAACAGCGAGGGTAAGGTCACCTTCGGGGTCCACGATGGGGAGGTCATGTTGCGGCTGGTCGATTTTCATCTCCGTGTCCGCCATCGCTGTGGTTGTAAGGCCCCTGGGCTGTCTGATTGACCGGAGAGAAAATTCCTTCGTCTCATTGTACTTTAAATGTGTTTTACTTTGCTTTACTTTCAGCTGTCGTCTTCCTATCCGGTCAAAAGCTCAGAGGTGCCCTTACGTGACGGAGTTCTAAAAATAACGTGCTCACTGAAGCCATATCAGGTACAAGTGCCTAGGACAAGCGCCCACTGCATGGTCTGTATGGCACTGTGGCTGGGTTTGGCCCTATTCAATATTCAGCTCTGTCTTGTTTATCTCAATAGCAAGGCTCGGGGAATAAAGGGCGCAATTGGTGGCCAATGGAACGGAGCGATGGGAACCATTTTCACGGATGCAAGATGTGAGTCATGCACTATGGCAATGCGCCTAGCCATTCACTAGAGGCAGCAACGCGGCCGCTACGGAGACTTATATTGAATTTCAATTGGGTGCTTCTCCGTTTCTGCTCCGCTTCTGAATCTCGCTCCACGTTTGGAGTTGCTTGGATGATCGCAACATCTCGATTTCGCCTGTTTGGTCTGATTCAATCGTTCCTAAAATGCAATAGATCCATCCTGAAAGCTCTTCCGCGACCCAAATGGGTGCCATTGCTTCGACGTTTCATCTTTTGGTGATCATCAACGTCGGACAGCAGATTATCTTGCTGAGGGATTCCTCTCTTAGGCCTTTCAGGCTGGCTAATAATGCTTATGCGGTTGGAGAGAGTTTTCAAACAGTCCCTTGCGTACGCATATGAGGCATATTCCTGGTAGCTCTTCTAAGTCCGCAAGCCATTCGGCCATCAGAGCTGGGAGCACAAGTTCGTAGTCGGGAATTCCATGATCTTTCTCCTCGCAGAGAGGGTCATCATACATCGGTTCAAGGCCGTTCTGCAATAGGTGGTCCATCAGAGACAGCAATGATTGGAATGGGTTTTGAGATCCCTCCGTGGTCAAGTGCCTGGTCAAGTTTGCTCGGTAGGCCCCCCAAGCTCATGGGCCCAACTGCATTCAGTGCATTGGAAACGGCTTTGCCCGTGGAGGGTGTCCATGTATTGTACCAGAAAGGTGATGAAATTGCTCTTCATGTTGGTTTTCAGATCCTGGAGCAGGGCTGTAACCCGTATCAGCGTTGCGTCTGGTTACCGGAAACTCTAACCTACAAATGAGTTGCCATGGAATAAAATCCATTATATGATTTCCAGCTCTTTGAAAGCTTAGGAAGGACGCATCCATAACTAAGCAGAGGTGCTTAGAGATGTCTTCGAACCGGATCTTTTCATCCATCACATATGCGCAGACCAGGTAGTCCATGATATCGCGAGCCGTTTGATCCTTTTTGGGAAAACATGTTTTTTTTAAGTAGTATCCCCCGTCCTCCATTCCTATGGAATTTCCCAGGTTCCCTGACCGGAGTGTTTTTATACTTGGGATTCTTGGGAGCTTAGTATGCAGCCAACGGTCTGCAACGCATTGGATTACCGGCGTCATCTGGTATTTATCCGCCGTCACCGCGATATCCAGCAGCAACTCGCCCGACATGTATGTTTTCCGAATCTCAATATCATGGTAAAGGCACCGGCAGATAAAGAGTATTGCGCGAGGATCATCATCTGGGAGTTCGATTGACTTCGGGGTGCCCGACGCAGCACCAACGTCCAGCTGTCCTTCTTTAAAATTCGGGCCAAGCATGACATTGAAAACAGGCGATGCCTTCTTCAAAAGAAAGAATGGACTTGGAGTATATCCTTGAACGAGCGGCCTGTTACCAGGTGTAGGTCACCGTCATGGTCAAGGATAGTTGTCTCATGGGGATATTCACCCATCGCGGTTTATTTTGAAGCGACTAGAGTTCGGAGGTATTGTAAATAGCATGTGACAAGTTTGCAATAGACCTTGTGGTAAGAATATAGATTGAAATATTTCAAGGTAGGTTGGTATTAGTAGCAGCGGAAGTTGGTTCATCAATTGAGATGCACGTTGTGAGTTGTCGGGGGCTGGATGAATGAATGATAGACCTGGGACCGGGTTATTTACGAGTAACTATGCATATTAGTTAATTCTGTGCACTGGTAACCAGGGTAACAGCCCGGTAACTTACCATCGGATTCTACCAAAAGATTCAAATAATTACCATTCTAGAAGAAAACTGAGGGTTTCTCTCCCCCACTTTAGCGCCAGCCAAGTATAAGGAGAGCCTGAAAATCACTATGCCCGATTAAGTTGCGACTATTAACCCGGTTCTGTGTGGTCAGAGTATCTGTATATTCAATTTTATAACAACTATGGATAGGGGATATTTGATGAATGATGCTATTTCCACGACTGTAGGCATCTCCATTGCTAAATCCGATACCAATCCTCATCGAACCATACCCTTCGCTGTATGCGTATATATGAAACCTTTTCTGCTTTCGATGCTCTGCCCACTGTCTTTGGATCATGAAATCTGCCCGTTCATCGATAATCCGGAACCTTATTCCCTTCAAGTCCGATATTAAGTGAATCATCCTTTCCGAGTAGGTTATCGTAATGTAATCTGGATCGATATTAGGAAAGAAAATCAACCAAAGCGCCCCAGACCCCAACCAGCTTGTCAGGGTGCGACATGTAAACCCCTTTTCTCTGAGTGGCGTTAAGTGCGTTGGCAACATCTCCTCCCACGAAACACTGAAGGCATATCCGAGATTGCCGAGATTGCTTCAGCCACTTATTCACCACGGCAACATGAGCCATATCGTAGTCTGGTCGACTATGTCCTCCACACCTTAGAGGGCAATGCCCCAGCTTCTTAATCTCCATTGCCATGAGATTTTGCAAGAAGGAAAGGATAGAGTGTTCCCCCCACTCAGTATACAATCCGGGCTCAAATGCTGCGACTGCATCCATGTATGCGCTTTATGCATGCTTCGGCCATCCGCATGCACTGCATGGTGTCAATCCGGAGCGCAGAGAGTTGATGACGGTTTTCAAGAGACGTAATAGCTGGGGTTGTAGCTGGAATCGTAGCGCTTGAAGTAGGCCTATCCAAATCAATGACCATTCGAGCGCTCTATCTGTTGTGACTTACAGAGGAGACCCCACGGAACCACATCGGATATTCTCTTAGGTACCAAATTCACGATAGATCCTTGATGTTCATGGCATAGCGAGCGAGAGATCTTGTTGAAATGATCGCCATCCTTGAAAAGGTATGCCGCTGCCAATTTATCAAGAAGCTCCACAACCTCCTCAACGTCAATGTTTGAAAAGTCCCAATTTGGAGCGTCCACATTAGGAAGTACTATGATAAATGAGGGAACTGACAACCAATGGTGGAGCATTGGCTTTATCGCCTCAAAAGTATCGTATCTGTCCGCCGCGATGACCACCGGCAACCGTTGCAGCGAAGGCATATAGAGCGAAGGTAGCCTGTGGTGGATGATTCTGCATAGAACCTCGATAGCATTAGGGTTGTCTTCCGGCAATAGACTCTCCTTGGGATGGTCAGAATCGAGATTTTGACCTTTCCTTGAAGTTGGGGCCTAGTTTGGCTTTGAAGACAGAGGACGCCTGTCGGAGAAATAAGGAGTGCACACGAATTCGAACCATGTGTTCCTTAGACCCGACGATGAGGATGAAATTCCCTTCCGGTGCCAAGTTGACAAGGCGTGGTGCAATTGGAGTACTCTCCATCGACTCCGATGATCTAGCTCGAGAAGGCATCTCTACATAATAGATGTGTGAGTGATGGAGAGTTTCCGGTTTCCCGCGTGATGACGAGTAGAGAAGTGAAATTGAGGAGACGAGGTGGAGAAGTGAGAGGGAGAAGGTGGAGGAGGAGCCGGTGGGAGAAGTGAGATGAGAGAAGGAGATGAGAAGTGAAGCGGGGGAGTGAGAAGGGAGAAAGAAGTTAAATAGTAAATAAGAAGTGAGGTCGAAGCCAGGCGATACTGAGAGATCAGTGTAATCTTCCAAATCCAACTCATGGATAAACGGAAGACGTAATCTCACGATTCGGGGCCACGAATTTCATTCGACTTAATCAACATAATAGCATAGATAGAGCTGGATTTGACGACAGTATCGCTATTCGTCTTCCGGGCTCTGAAACATCCTTTTTGGTGCGAAGTGAAACTCCTCCTTCAGTGAACTAACGAAGTGGTACTGGTGAAGAAACCCAGAGAATGCAAACGGGTAGGTACCTTGAGCGGAAAGGTGTTCTGGTTACACAGCGCGTTGCCATTCTGGAAAATTTTAATACTCACTTTCTATCCCAACCTCGATCTCTGGCCGACGAGCCATATAAAGTACCATCTTGTTACTTTTTCCATCACCTAGATTGTGCAACACAATGATCCTTAGTAAATCCGAGGAATCCCAAGTCCCCATGATCCAGCCAGAACCATTCTGTCGACCCGATAGTAATACTCGGTTGAACATGGAGTCGAGCAAACACACATACATTCGCTCTTAATATGCCTGGAACTTCACCTTTAGCATCTAATTTCGGATGACGGGCTCGACTCCAAAGAGGGCCACCCCCTATAACCATCTCTTGAGCCGTGCTCATGGCAGTCACGAACACTACGGCATCAGCGCCGGCTTCCTCGCTATCATCAAATAGCAGATCATGGTCCGTCCAGCTGAGGCATGCGAAACTCGGACCGAGACCGTTGGTTACTTCCAATCCAACCGCTCCAGCTTCGACCACCATGTAGCCAAAGTCAAGTTCCGATGTGCCGATCAAGGCTGGCCGTTAAGGGGCCGGCTGCGGATGGTTTTGGTGGTGTGGGTGACCAAGTTGACGAGGTCAGGATGACCGGGGCCAACGAATGCGTCAAAGCATACGGATTGCGAATTGGTTTTTAGAATGGAGAGAACGTAGGAGGAGCACGTGCCAAGTTCGCTTTAACCATATGGAAGGCCGTTTTGGCAATGACCTGATGATGAGTCACATCCTGGATTCGGTGGAGAGCGGCTCAGAGCGCACCTTCAAACAAGCACGTGCAATCTGGTACAGAAGAACGCGGATAATAGATCATAGAAGTGGAAGAAGGCGCAAGAGTTCCGGGTGGGGCTTATGATTGTGGAATGAAGATGATGAAATGTATTGACGCCATACTAAACCCATATTCCATAATTCCATTAAGGAGAAATACTACCTACATGGTGCCATAGATGAGGTTGGGTAAGTACAACAGGATGGATTTCGCACGCGACTTGACTGAATGCTCTGATTTATAAGAGTCGCATCCGAGTCAGGGCGATGGCACTGATAGGATCCGACAGAAGACATCGTTAGTAATACGACCGGTGAGCATTCAGACGTTGGAGTTGGGAGGGTCCCGATGCAGGTACACGATAGTGGAATCCACCATCGGATTTAAGGTGTTTCTAGTGTACGACCGGCTGGCAATCCCCCCAGAATATTGGGATTATCCACGCCTCATGTTTAATGGAGGGCAGACATTGAATACAGGATTGGACATTTGCAAGAGCTGCACATGGGTATATCTTTCGAGGCGACGAATGGCATGTAATTGATAATACTAATATGGCGTCAGTCGAAAACGGAGACGGACGAGATAGAGAGAGTGAGGGAATTTTTTGACGTGCTCTTGCGTGCTATGTTTGCGCCACATGATCCAGGTCACGTGGCCGAATTGTGTGACCCCCATCCTTGCAATTGGGTCAGCCTCTCGACCGCTTTGTTCTCTGATTCCTCCACCTGATCTGGGAATTGAACTTCGCCTATGGCGTCGCTGATCCATCCAGGAATCAAATAAATTTAAAGATAACCGAGGGTTTAGTGGGCGATTCGAGCTTCACGAAGTGGAATCCTGCGCTTGAATGACTTGGCAGTTATTAACTTCGACTGCCGCCTGAGCATTGGACCCTACCGACCATCACGACTTGGGGCTGAGGGTCCCACTGACACGACATTGATCCTGATACAACCCGACGCTGTGGATTGCATCTTCTGTATTCCTGGGCAATATCTCCCTTCGCACGCCATCCGGAGTGCTCAATATCAATTGCCTTCCATCCCTGTATCAAAAGGGGCTCGAGCCTTTTATTGGCCCCATCTTACGTCCGGATTGAAAGGCTGACGGCATCCCAACTGACCGCCTCGAATCATGGATTCCTTCAAAACCCGCCCCCGACCAGATCCGGACGCCCGATATATGAACGAAGATACGGCTCGTCACCAGAGGCATTCGTCACGCCGGGAGACTCTGAACAGATTCGCTGACCAGAACGATTATGTCGACCTGAATGACCGCAATCACGGCATCGGAATGCCCCAGATGTCAACTTCCTACAATAGCGCAATCGGCCGTGGTGACGGCAGCATTGCTATATCCTCGACAAGCAGACACGCAGGAGAAAGCGTCGCACCCTTCCTGTCCAGACATATCCCTCAACAATATGCACCCCAAGGCGATCAACCCGAAGAACCCACAGCGATGCAGTTGCAGTCGAATACGAAATACTGTTATCGTCATCGACCTGACCTGAAATGTAGACGGCAGGTCAACGAGCCGTCGATGGGGCAGCTTCAGAATGTATGTACAACCATACTTAACATCGTCGCTCGTTTCTGACTCATGAATAGGAACTCGCTTCATTATCTGGATCCGACCAGCAAGGCATTGCACATGTCTGGTCGCTGTTCTCCGCCGCTCCATCGAAGCACCGCAATCTTATATTACAAGGCATACTCGCACAATGCTGTTTCCCACAATTATCGATGATCTCAAGTTCCGTCCGGGATTTAATCAAGATCGACTTCCTTTCTGCTTTGCCACCCGAGATAGGCTTGAAAATCCTCATGTACCTCGATGCAAAGTCGCTATGCCAAGCGGCTCTCGTTAGTCGGGGATGGAGGGAACTGGCGGATGACGACGCTATCTGGCATCGCATGTGCGAGCAGCATATTGGCGGGAAGTGCAAGAAGTGCGGGATCGGACTACCGCTGCGACTGCGAAATGAAAAGCGACGGGCGCAACTAGAAGAGAGCACCGACGTAGCAACCGACCCAAACATGGTGGCGAGTCCATCGTCCGAATTTAGGTCGGCCGCCACGAGTCGCGAGTCGAGTGTCGATCCCACACATACGAGTCCGATGAAGCGCAAATCCGACCATGCCTCAGCGGACGACTTGGTCAAGCGCGTGTGCACAAAATCACTGCGAGAGGCCGCCGCAGACGCTGCCTCCACTCCTCGGAAGCGACCGTGGAAGGAAGTGTACCGGGAGCGGCATAAGGTTGGACTCAACTGGAAGAAGGGCCGATACAACCTACAGGTGCTCAGAGGCCACCGCAATGGGGTGATGTGTTTGCAGTTCAACGAGAAGATCCTCGCCACTGGTTCATATGACTCGACCATCAAGATCTGGTGTATGAAGACAGGAAAAGAAATCCGCACCCTTGAAGGCCATACATCTGGCGTTCGTTGTCTGCAATTCGACGATACGCTACTGATGAGTGGCAGCATCGACAAGACTCTCAAAGTCTGGAACTGGCGCACTGGAGAGTGCATCCGCACTTTCCATGATCACACCGGTGGTATCATCGGACTGCACTTCGTCGGCCCATATATTGCCTCCGCAAGCATGGACAAGACAGTCCGTGTGCTTGACCGTGATCGACAAGCTAAATTTACCTTGCGTGGCCACACCGACTGGGTGAACGCAGTCAAGATCGATCTACCATCTCGAACGATCTTCTCCGCCAGCGACGATATGACCGTCAAGCTATGGGACCTCGATACCCATCAATGTCTCCACACTTTCACCGGCCACGTCGGGCAAGTGCAGCAAGTCCTCTTCATGCCGCACGGTTTCGAACTCGACGACGACACCCGCGCAGCACTCGTCTCCGACTCCGACACCGACCATGAAGATGGAGCCACCCTCATCGCCCGCCCCGACACCCCGATTGGCAACCATTTCCACCACCAACCTCCGACCGCCATCCCCGCCCAAGCGCCCGATCACGCCCCTCCCGCCGACTCCTCCCCCGAGCAGCACA